GTGTGTTTTTCCATCCAGCTAGGTATGAAATTTGGGTATTGCGCAGAAACATTCCGCTCTATTAATCTCGAAATATTTTAGACTCGCAAAATATAACATGATACCTTTAATATCTATAGTCTGTCCTGCATTTTTTCTTCTTAAATCATTATTATAAAATCATGAAAGCAAGTATTCAAAGAGAACTGAAGCGATAACACTCTATTTACATAGGCTGAGTTTTGGCGTTCGTAGATTAAAAAATTATCAATAGTACATGACTTAATTATGTGAACTGTTTGCACAAATAAATACAGCAATATCATTAGAACACCGTTTGCACAACTATTTCTACTTCCCAACATTATTTAATTTACACATCACAAGGTGAAAGAAAATGCTGCAAATACCTAAGAGCATCTTCAACAAAAAGATATCTCCAGCTCACTATACTCAAAACTCCTGCACTCATTCTCTCAACCACCGCTCTTCCATCTTCTACCTTTAACCCTAACCTCAAATCCGCCACGAGCCCGCTAACCGTGTCGCTCGAGCAACATCCCGGTGGCGGCAGCTCCTCCGAGAACCACCCTTCCAACCCTAAAACAAACCTACCTTTCCCTTTACAATTCATCACATTAAAAACTCCCTTAAACCCTTCCAAAATCACATCCCATGTCACCCTCAGGTCACCGAGTGTATCAAACGGCCCCAAATCCCCGTTCTTGACTTCAGTGGCAGAGCCAGGAATCCTAACAAGAAAAATTCAAACAAATGCAATCTTGATACATGAGTGATTACACTTCACAATCAAAGAGATTCAACATAATATATATAATGAAACCGTTTCCTATATACAAAAGTACAGTCAAACCTCTCGATAACACATCCCTACATAACAAACTTCACTATAAAAGTCAAATTTTTTCGGAACCAATTTTCATGTGTTATTTTATCATATATGTTCACTGTCATAGCGCTAACATTCAAAAATATTTAAAACAAACGAGGTTGTTATAAAGAGGTAATTCGTGAACACCCCTCCAACACTTACCTTTGCCATTGCTCGACATCAATATCAAACCGAAAAACGCCTTTCTTGTCGAAACTAAGTTGACTTCCATGCTTGACTAAAGTCACCATTCGTGTAGTGGTTTTATAGATGTTAAGTGCAAAAATGATGTTATTAAGGGAAATACGGGGTTTTGACGGCTGTTTCAGCCGGCGATTATTCGCCCTGTGCCCGAGGGCGTATAACCGCCGGTAAGAGACGGTGGGATTATAACAAGTATGAAGTGTGGAAAGAGAAGGGTAATGAGTGGAACAAAGGGGTTGCCATATTTGATCTGAAGACATGGAAATAGACCATGATTTGCACACACAAGAAGCTTTAGCTAGTGTTTTTGGATCAAGATGGTTTGAAACAAGAACAAGAACTTGCCATGGAGGTGGTGAAACTGTCGCCATTGTCTTTTCTTTTCTTTTATCACGCGATTATTTTCAAGTTTTCAACTATAAAATCAGATTCTTTAAAATCTTTGGAGTAAGATAGAGTGAGATTTTATCCAATTTTAGTTTTAGTTCTAAAGAAGTGACACGTGTTGAGTTCACAGACTTTTGCATGGTGGTGACATGACACGTATGATATAGTTATACACAATCGTTACTACTATGTCGACACGTTTTGAAGAAGATTATGGTTCACTATTTTGCTTTTCCTTATTTTCTCCTTTGTACATAGTGTTTGATGACTTTAATTTAATATCGAGCGTTTATATTTCTAGAAAACAATATTCAACATGCTAATAATGTGCTTGGAGTGATTAGAACATTAAGATACTTACGTTATTGACGTGGAATTAATATGTGCATTTGAAGTTGAGAGCGAACTTCAACTAATGCTGCTTTCATCGGACTTCTAATTTTAAAGGTTTTAAAGTAAAATACATGACCATTTTAAATATATAT